CCCTCCCTTCTACCGTCTTTCCCTTCTTTACCATCTTCGCCACTGAAAGCTCCTAGGCAACGAAATCGGACTGCCAGCCACAATGTATGTACAGAAAGGGGATGATGGTTGGTCTGCCGTCGAAAAACAAGCCACGGCAGAGCAGCATCACGCGAGGAAAAACTACATAGACGACTAAAAGGCGTCATCGACCCCCCCCGCTTCCCTGTTCGTCGCCTTTCCCGTCGTCTTCGTCTTTCGGGGGGCCTGTGCCCAGCCAATCCACCTTCTTTGCCTCCATCGGGGAAGACAGTGTGGCGTCGTGTGAGAACTTCACACCGATGGACGCCCAGTCGGGAACATACACAGACGGCGACCGAAATTGCTGCCTAGGAAGATCGTTGTTGTTCCCCGAAGCCTCCCGCAGCGGCGCTGGAGACCTCGGTGATCGCTGAACAGCCGTCACGTCGCCGCCATCGTCGTCGGGATGGGGGTTCACGACGACCGTTCGGGAGACGACTGCCGACCTCCCGCTGCCGAGTCCAAACGACAGATTCACGCCGCCATCGTCATCGTTGTCGCTGAGCCCCTGCTGGAGGAGTTCGGTGTACGACTGCCCTTTACCGTCGTCGCGGCTCCAAACAGCTCTGTAGCCGCCCACTCCTGGGTGGATCCGCTTCCCAGCGGCACGGTCCGTGACCGTCTATCGTCCCCTTCCTCGTCGTCCGTGTCAGGCAGAGGTTGCAAGTGCGGTGGCAGGTGCACGTGCCCGGACCGCTCCGACGGCCTTGGACTATTCGACGGGCTGTGCCCGAACCACCGCCCACCTCCCTCCCCTGCAGACCCGCTGATCGCCTTCCGGCCCTCCATTATGTCGTTGTTCTTCACACACCTCCTTCTGCGACCACGTCGCGGAAGGCCGCCGAGGATGCACACGTGGAAGACAACCAGGAGGAGGAGCAATAGGACGACCAGCAGCAGCAGCGGCAGCCTCCGAAAGACATCGGCCATGAAAAGCACTTGGATGACAGTGGCAGCTAGTAGACAACGGGGGATCTATCACGTAACGGCGACGGACACTGCTGCAAACGCCTGACCGCAACAAACGACAAAAGCACGGTAACGCATTCCGTTTGTGAACACATTGCGCAATCGCCCTGCCGGGGGACGGTTCAAATATTCGAATCTTGCGACCGTTGGGCGCCTTCCCGCTCGGGGACAAGGGCGGCGACGCAAGAAAGCCGATTTTCGACGTCGGAGAAGCGACTGGGCCGCAAAAGGGGACCGTTGGCGCACTCTTCCATGAAGCCGACCGTTGCCGATCGAAGATGTCCGTCCATGGGCGCCAGGAACAATAGTGGTACAGACGGCCGTCGCAAAATGTCGTCGACAGAGCTGCCGACGACGTCCCGACTCTTCCGGATCCTCGACCTCCGAGGGACCTCGGGAGGTCCCTTGGGGAACGCGTCGAAATGGCTGTGGCCCGAGGAATCCCCGAGGAATCCCCGAGGAAATGTTTTCACATTTTTTTTTCAATTTTTTCCCCGAGGATAAGTGGAACGATCATTTCCTCGGGGGATTTACGCGCCCGAGGAGTGTGGAACGAGCCCCAGAGAGAGAGAGAGAGAGAGAGAGATGCAGGATGCAGCATGTCAGTGGCGGGGAGCACAAGGGCAGGCGCTGACCTCCAACAAAAAGAAGAAGTAATTTTATCGGAATACAAGAGTTTTTGCTTTTTGAAATCCGAGTAGAAAGGATATAGGTTGTATTCGAATACAATGTGTGCGTTTTCTATTCGAGGAACTCTGCTATTCGAGAAAAGTGGACCCGCACCGTTTCAATTTTCAAAAAGGACTGCGGCCTCCTTGGCCTCCTATGCGCGCGGTCCTGGACCAAAACCCATGCGGTCCCACGGGCAGCTACCGGTCCTGCAGTTTCAAATAAGATGCCACCACCCCCTAAACTGCCATGGCTTATTTTTCCAGCCTTCCAACGACCGTATAACGATAACGAACGACGACGAAAAATGTTCTCAGGGGCATAAAACGCACCCCTGACGGGCTGCGAACATGGCCAGGAGGTCAATCCTTCCCTCCTCGTGGGAATATATCAATGCCTCCTGCATATACAGACACACAATACAACCTCCTCACATATCACTGTACAGGGACGCTGGACCCGATTTCCGGCAGGTGCAGCTCCCCACCAATAGATGGCGCCTTCAAACTCTGGGACCCACTTAACGGGGCTGCTCTTATAACCTCGTTAAGTGGGCCTCCTTGAGTATGAAGTTTTTCCAAAAAAAAAAAAAAAAAACTTCAAAGGAGCAGGCACCACTATCACCCCAAGGGAGGCTCCATCTATTGGTGGGGAGCTTTGCCTGCTGGAAACCAGGTCCAGCATCCCTTTAACATCAGGGAACCTGAATTTGTTGGAGGAAAATGAATCAGAGACCTGTCAGCATTGATTGCCCTGGAGTCCACGTGATTGACTGCACAGGTTATGATGGGTTATGCTGTGAGTTATTGACTTTTGCCTATACCATTCCGGGGCACTGCTCAAGCAGGCACAAAAGAAGGGTCAGTAGGTGGCAGTTGGGATGATATCTCTAAGTCGCTGCTCACGCAAGGGTAAGCCCCGTGCTGACTTGGGCCCAGAACTCCACCCTGATAACCCCAAGGCATGGAACACCATCCTTTTGTTTTTCAAAAGAGAGAAGGCCTTAAAGCACCAGTACATGAGCACCTGGGGTGCCGGCCTGACACCTAAAATTCTGGAGGCGCAAAACGAAAACACGACTGCCGATCCAATTTATTGATGGCGGGCCCAGCGTTTGACATTTCGGCCTCGTTTTCTTGTGGCGACGAGTTTCGGACTGCAAGGCCGGGGCCGTGTACTAGTGGTTTAAGATATCATCACGGAACTGACCGGCCCAGGTAATCCTGTTCACCTGACCGCATCTGATCCTTTTGTATTTTGTCAGGATCATAGAGAAGCCTTTAGGGGCATATGCAGAGTGGGGAGCCTTGGGTCACTGGACCTAGCAGCCCGCCCCATATTTTTTAGGTTGAGGAGGTGTGGATACCCCCTTCAAAGGTGCCTGAAGACGCTGGACCCGATTTCCAGCAGGTGTAGCTCCCCACCAATAGATGAAGCCTTCGACGTTGGGATCTACTTATCGAGGATGCTCTTATCACCTCGATAAGAAAGTTTCCCATATACAAAGTTAAAAAAAAAAGGTGCGTGGAGAGGAGAGGGAATGGACACGGTGTTTGAGGTAAGGTCATACATAACCCATTTGAGAACAGAAACTTGGAGACTAGCTTCTTCCCCCGAACAGAACGCCCGGTCATTATCGCTGCATCTGGACCGAAAGTTGTGCCAAATACAGCTATAATGACCAGGAGTTCAATTCGGGTGAAGATGGTAGCCCGAGTACAGTTCAGAAATCCCTCAATTAGCCAGAAAATGACTGACATCCTCCATGTCTAAAAGCTCTATGCACTCTCAAGTTGTGGGCTATTTTTGTTCTTGCTCTCATCTAACACGACATGAATGCAGGTTAGACCAAGAGATGGAGCAGGCCGATAGATAAGCCCTCAATTCAGACCGTTCTCTTACCACCGCCGGGATGGAGGGCTTACACGGGCTTTAACCAAAAAAAAAAAAAAAAAAAAAAAACTGACATGTCGAGAGTGGCGCTTATCCACCGTACTTGCAACTTGTGCACTTCTTTTTTCCCCCTTGGGCAATTTTTTCACCAGCATTTTCTTCTTCGCCATCTTTGACACATTCCGTCCCCGTCCCAGAAAAATTCCAGGAATCCACAGCCCAAAGAAGGTAAAAGACTTAGGGTGTACTCACGCTAGCTTTATCTTAAATTAATGTATCTGACCGCATTTACGGCCATACCTGCATGCATAGATGACTGCAATTACGCCTATTAACAATTTAAATAAAAAAAAGCCTCAAAAGAAAACAATCGACGATTGGAAAGGAAAAAAAACGACAATTAAAAGTGTCCTGGTGGGGGGTGTACCCCCTTAAACCACCAGTACGTTTCCCAGCTAAAATTCTCTCATGCAGCCCTTAACCTCGGGGCGTGCTAAATCGAGGCGGGCGGCCCAAACAAATTCTATGCCCATGCTGGTTCAGCAAACTCAGCCCACAGCAGCCCACGCCTTTCGGGCCTTAGCATGCCAGATCAAGACCCCCCAAAAGCATTCCAAAGCCATGCCCAGGTTCGGCAAAACTCGCCGCATGGGAGAAATGATCAGAAATCAGCCTCGGGACAAATAGGTTTGGAAGTCCTAGTCGTTTAAACACCACTACGACCCCTTCGTCCTATCTGGCACTTCATGGCACCTTTGTCCCCATTCCAATAATAGTACCGCCCTATTCCCCCCTGAGCAAACTCGAAAACTTTGGCGAGGCTAAAAAGTTGGCAAAAGACTAAAACACCCCTATGACTTAGAACTCACCACAGTAAAGAGTCTCCACGAACAGCGCATTGCTGGTCCTTATTTGAGAGGATAACTTTCCATGAAGATGCCAGCCTTAAAGCACCAGTAAACGGCCCCAGCCTTGCAGCAAAACATCTTGTCGCCACAAGATCGTTTTTGCAGCTAGGGCCTACCGGACCAC